ATTATTCGGCCTATTGTCCTCATCTTTGTGGTCATATTTATCACAGCGTTTTGGCCCTTCAGTATCTGTCTATATTTTTGAGATGATGTATTATGTACATTATTTACTTTATTCGGACTATTGTCCTCATCTTTGTCGTCATATTTATCACAACGTTTCGGCTGTTGTACGCTCCGGCTTTCTTCAGGTGGTTGGAATGTCGAACTTAACCTTTATTTCGCTCACTGGGGTAGACTGTTCTAGTTCCGCGTACCATGTTTTTAACGGATGTCAGTTATCAGTTATCTCCTGCTAATTTCCCTCTGAAAGTTCTTTTGAAACAAAGTGTTCAGTTCGAAATTCCAACCACCTGAAGAAGGCCGTAGCGTACAACGGCCGAAACGTTGTGATAAATATGGCGACAAAGATGAGGACAATAGTCCGAATAATGTAAATAATGAAGAAGCATTCATTGGATAATAAATCAACACTACTGTGTAATGCGACAATTTAATAATCGCAGCTATGCGACAATTTTATAATCGCTATATTTTCATGTAGTCGATTTTGTGCACTTTTGGGATAATCGGATCCCAGAAGCATTTCGTGAGTTTCTCCAAAGCTCGCCCGCTGATTGGTCAATGTCAACCAACCAGATTGTCAGCACGTGAAGATTGATTCTTCCCGCGCATCGCTTTCGGAGCCGACGATCACCTATATAAGCAAAGAAAATACTTAGTAAACCAGTGAGTTCTCAGCTGCCACAGAAATCTACGACAGTTGAAACCATGTGCCAGTCTTCGCACTCACACCAACACTCACATGCTGAATATTCCCTATACTCACATAAGCATTTTTCTTACACAGTAAAATTGTTGAAAACATTTATTACCAGAAACTATTACAACCTTATTTCTTTCAGTGAACTTTGGAACAATTGATAGTTAAAGAGAGACAACTCTTGTTTTACTCAATGCATGCTTTTCTTTCACATCCTTGTTTGTACATCTTGTTAAATTTTATGAGTAATGGTATCTTTGGTTTATCCTCTTTTTCTTCAAGTCAGTTTGGTTTCCTAATCTAAGTTAAATAAATGTGATGGAGTCTGCCACAACTTACTTTGGAAAGAAATAGTCTAATCTGGTGGTTAATGAGGTGGTTAGTAAAACCACTGTAAACTAGTGTCTGTTTTGCATTGTTGAGTTCCTTAAGGAAAAGTAAACGAGAGGATGAATTCTCGTGTGCTCTCTGTAGAAGTTTTTTTATTTTTTTATCTCTGCTGTTTCGTATCTAAATGGGCATTAAAGTTAAGGTGGCAAGAGTCTCTGCTCGTGGTTTTTTTTATAGAATGAAGCAGTGAAAGTGCTGTTACTGTATTTTATGAGATCGTCTAAGAATGGGAGTTTATTTTTTTGACATAGTTCAGAGGTAAAGTTAAGGATAGAGTTTTTTTTTTCAAATCTGGTTTTGAGATAATCTATTTCTTTTGCATTTTTTCGCTAAAATAAAAGAAATATATATCGTCTGCGTAGCGGACATATTTTAGGTTTAGTGACCTGTTTAAATATCATGTTTCCTACATGGGACATGTAATAATTGGAGAAGCACGAGTCGAGTGGATTTCCCAAACTAACACCATTAGTTTTTGGGGGGTGGGGTGGGGTGGGGGGTTTAGATGTTGGCCTTATGGTCGTGCAAAGGGACCTTTGGTTGTGTGTGCATGCAATAATATTGTGATCATATTTGGTTTGATGGATGGAGGTGAATCGGAATTATTTGTGTACACGGATTTAACCATTACGTCATTGGATTCATCAAAGAGGACGTTAGTGAGTGATGCTAAAATACGTGTGTTTGGATTTATACATTTTAGAATTTGGAGGAATTTGTGGGTGGATGTGATGCTGTAATTGGTGGGTGGGTATGGTGTAATGATTTCATTAAGATATTTTGAGAGTTCGTGGATAGGAGCTAGAATCTGGGAAATATATATATATATATATATATATATATATATATATATATATATATATATATGTATATAGGTGGCCTGACGATTGCGTCTAGCATGAAACAGCCTGTCGCCTCAAATGTTGACTTTTTTTTCTCACTTTTATATTTACACACGCTCTATTTTTGATATTGAGCACTTTATCCCATAAATATAACACACATTAAGAGTATATTTTATATATATATATATATATATATATATATATAAACAGATAGATAGATAAAACACAGATAGGTAGATGTATATGAACATAGATATGAACAAATTAAAATAGATCGATATGAACAGACTGAGATAGATAGATAGATAGATATATAGATAGGTAAAAAGAATGTGACATTAATTTAATATTTAAGTTAATGGTCTGTTTATAAAAAACATTATTAACAACTTTTACCGGCTTGAACGTCCTAAAAATGACATAGAATATATATATATATATAAGTAATTCATCGAGTCTGAAAGAAACCTCAACAGAATGAAGAAAGAACTGGACGACCGTTTCGT